ACTACTGCAACTCCCTTCTCACTGGCCTACCCAAACACATGCTATCCCCGCTCCAGACTATCCTGAACACAGCGGCTAGACTCATCTACCTCACCAACCGCTCCACTTCTGCCAATCCCTTCACTGGCTCCCGATTGCCCAACGCTTCAAATTACTAACTCTGACATACAAAGCCATTCATAACGCTGCCCCAAACTACCTCACTGACCTGATACCCAAATACCACCCTACCCGTGCCCTTCGCTCCTCACAAGACCTCATACTCTCTAGCTCCCTGGTTTCCTCCCAAGCCTGACTGCAGGACTTCTCCAGGGCTTCCCCCATCCTCTGGAACTCTCTACCCCAATCCATCAGACTGTCACCTACCCTCACCTTTAGGCGCACCCTGAAAACCCACTTCTTCAGGGAAGCCTACCCCACCCTCGCCTAACAGCCGTTCTCCTCCACTCCTACTACCACTCCATCCCTCGCAGCCACTTCCTCCTGTACCTCTACCCCCTCCCTCCTAGATTGTAAGCTTGAAAGAGCAGGGCCCTCGAACCCCTCGTGTATTACTGTATTGTCTCATGTACTGTCCCCCCACTATAATGTACAGCGCTGAGCAAATCTATCTGGCGCTATATAAATACTGTAGAATAAAAATTTCAGTATTGGTTGTCAAACCGTTACATGATCCTTATCTACTGATGGCATATTAAGGTGTACCTACCAATATGCAATAAATTCCTTTATTCAGTAGGAATTATTTGCTGAAATATACCTCCACGCATTTCTGTTATAGCTTGTAAATAACTGTACAATACACACTATAGAAACCACTATCTGTCCTGTGTTGGGGGTTCTAGCAACAAAAGAGAAAAAGCCCTGTTCTGTGTTGAGGAAAAAATTGCATGGTTTGGTTATGAAATATCTTCTGCTTAGATATTGCATTGTCTGAAAACACTATAAATGACTAACTGGGAAAGTAATTTGCAGTCTGTCCTGTCACTAAACCAGATACAAGCACCATCATGACACCCAAGCTATGGCTCCTTCTTGTGACTGGCACATTTTTAGGACTTTCGAGTTTGGCTACTGAAAATCGAGGTGGTGAGAAGACCTATGTAAGTAATTTCAACTCCTAACTTAAAGCATACAGAAATGAGGCTGACTAGAGTCTAAGGTCCATGTCAAATGGAGGAATAATAATTGACATACTGAATAGTATTTGTTCCAACACTGCAGAACCTCACTTTCTTGCAACAAGGCATTGATGGAATTAAATCTCTCTTGATTTGGAAAAACTAAAACATTTTGTTTTTTAATTGCAAAGCCCCCAATTGTCCATTTGAGACCAAATTCTGCTGTCCTTCTGGCACCCTCAGTTGTCCTTATTTTTGGTCTAAATTGTATTTCTGTACAAAATGTATTTTACTAACAGTGTTGTGCTGCTCTAAACTTTTATATCCAAACGCTATTTCATTTTGTTGTTTTAGATAAGCCAATTATAAGGAAAAGTAGGTTAATAAACTTGTGTGGTTTAGTCCAGTGGTCCCCAAACTTAAGCTCTTGCAAGCTTTTATTTGGCTCTTGAGGCACTAATTCCTACTGGTACAAGACACTATTCCTCCCTCTGCCACAAACGATGGGGCACTATTATTCCCACTGATACCAATGATGGACCCCTATTACTCCCACTAATACCAATGATTGGGACAGTTTTCCCACTGATGCCAATGACTGAGAACTAGTCCTCCCACTGATACCAATTAAGGGGCACTATTCCTCCCCCTGATACTAATGATGGGTCCCAATTACTCCCACCAATACCAACAATGGGGATTTTTCTACCACTAATACTAGTGAGAGCCCTATTACTCCCAATACCAATGATAGGGTGCTATTCAGCCAACTAATACCAATGATGGGGCATGATTCCCCTCCCACTGACCACACTTTGCCACAAGCCTGACACATTGTTTACTGATGTCAGGGCATTTTCACTCCCATTAACCACAGTCCAATCCCCCTAAAGTCTGAACAATCATAAACTGGCCTTTCGTTTAGAAACTTTACTAACTGGTTTTCACAATCTCCAATTCCATCCAAAATGAAGATTTTTTCGCTTTTGTTGTTCTTTAACTGCTTCCCACCCAATCTATAGCAGAATGAGTGGGAGCTCTTCCATCCCGAGTGGACGTCGTATGACATCCTCCCAGTTGCGCCTCCTACATGCTCTAGCAGCCATGCTTCAGCTCAATCTGTCACTGTGTCCACTGGGCACAGTGGATGATATATCACCATACCAGGCTGGCCCCGATACCATGTGATCGCTGTGACAATACATTGCATTTATTCATAGCCATTCATTGTGTACTATTGTGATTCTCTGTGATTGGTCATAGTAATCATGTGTTGCAGACAGGGCCAATCATAATGCATCTGTACCGTGTGATAACTGAGACCAATCACCACACCCTGTGACTGAATGGATGCTATTCATAAAAATGATTGCTTATAACAGTGATGATCACGGTTATAAGCAATTGTAGTAAAAAAAACTTGTAATCACTTCAGAGTAGTACAGTGTCACTATAGTAACAATCTACTGCACTGGTCAGTTAAAAAAAAGGAAAAAAGTTAAAGACCTTTTATTAAAATACTGTCAAGTCGGTGTCCCTTATCACCAACACATGAGACCTATGATGCTGTGCTGCTCTGGTGATACTATGTAAAAATAGATTGTGAAGAAAAACCCGACTTTTATATAATTTTTTTTTTTTTTTTTTTTTTTTTTTTTTCAAAAAACTCACCATGCCTCTTACTAAATACCCTAGACTGTCTACTTTCCAAAAAGGGGTAATTTGGAGTTTTGTATTGTCCTGGCATTTTCAGGCCTCAAGAAATGATAGGCTGTCAGTACATCAGGATTGATTAATTTTCAGATATATACCATAGCCTTTGAACTCTAACTTTCTACAGACTAAATGATAAACACTGATTTGGGTTATTTTCACCAAATGTAGCAGAATACATTTTGGCCTAAATGTATGAAGAAAAGTTATTTGCAAACTATTTCAAAAACTAAGCCGCCTTTTTGGTATTTTTTCTGCTTATGTAGCAAAAATTAAAAAACCCAGCAGTGATTAAATACCACCAAAAGAAAGCGCTGTCTTAAAAAAAAAAAAAAACAGTGTTGTAAAACTGGTGTTCAAAGTGTGACCGCACTGAAATCTGAAAATTGGCCTGGGCAGGAAGGGGGTGAGTCTCTAGCATTGAGGTAGTTAAAGCAGAAGGCATATCTGGCCAAAATATAAAATCTGTTCAGATTACAAAAAAATTACTTCAAATAACTGAACTTTAATGTGGAAATGAATAATCTTGTTTGTAAACTTACTTTTTGAAAATTTCCGCACTTATTTTTGTGATTTCTGTGACGCGTAGTCACCATGCCCTGTGAGTAGGCACTGCTGTCACACATTTTACAGACCTGACTTCTGAACTACAGAGGTGCTGAGGGGAGGAGTTTCAGTAGGTAGGGTCAGTAGTACGCTATATGCTTTCATCAGCATTGTGCATATTGAAGAGGACTGGGAGATCACTGCTTACAGGTAGAAAGGTACCATGGAATATGAAGTCCTTAGAAATTTAGAAGAATCTGCAATGCAATACAAGGCTTCTCCGGCTAAAGTGGTGATCATGATTTCATCTGCCAGCTTCTCGGTCTCAAAGTCAGCCAATCAGAGAGCCTTGTATTGATAAAAATACAAGCTTCTCTTGAATGGAAGAGAGCTTTCGGCCCAACTTTGTGGCAGCAGAGGGAAAGTCACCGGCACTGTTGCCGAAACACAGCGCTGCCTACTGTATGTAGCTAATGTTGATACAGTATATTGCAGCACACAGCGGTCACATTGTTCTGTAATGGAAATAGTTTGTTGGGCCAGCTTGGTCAAAAAAACTTTTTTAAAATGACTATACTCTGGAATTCTACATTAATATCCATCTATACAGTGTGTGGCCAACAGATATATGGGTGCTTGACATCTCCAAGTGGATGGCGTCCATTCAATACTCATTGGTAGTTCAAAGGTCACCAGCACTCCATGAAGTGCATCTTACAATTTTGTATAGTAGAAACATGCTTTCACAAGACATTTCAGGGTCATGCAAGGTCTTCCCCCCCCCCAAACACACTAGTATGCCTATGTTGTCTTGAAAAGACGTGTGTGTCCATACCGTGTTTTAACCCCTTGAACCCTGCACTGCATGGGTAATGGCAGTGCATTAAAAGTGCATTCATCTTGGCACTATGGAGCTTCTCATGTCAATAGTAGTACGCTATTGCTGTCATCGGCGTTGTCATATTGAAGGGGACTGGAAGTTATGGTGTTAGTATAGCTTATAAGTAATGGGACTTCACTGGGGATTTCTGGTAAATCATATCAGTGGAAGTTATGGTGTTCTAGCTTGTAAATTAACTTCAATTTTTCAGTCTAAACTCTACATAGTTTAGATTGAGATTCAAATATTTACATAGCTGGTAAGGTTACACCAGTCCATCCAGTTCAACCTGTATGTGTGTATTTGTCACTACCACTTTCCATATCTGTACATTGTGTTCAGAGAAACACTGGTTTTTTTTTTTTGTCATCTACACTTTCCACTGATTTTTTCACCAAATGTAGAAGTTTCCACATTTATTTACCACTCTAATGGTAAAGAGCTCCTTATGTAGTTGAACATTGAACTACTTTTCATCCAATATCAAGTATCTTCCTTAGAGACCTTAGGTTAGGTTAAAAAAAAGAAACAAAAAAAAAAAAACAAATATACACCTTAATTTCTGTAGTTGTTCCTCATAACTGATGCCCTCCAACCCCTTTATTAGCTTTGTTGCCCTTGATACAATATTATTCAAAACACGCAACTGAACTCCCTAGAGGTCTCCATCGCAGATGATTGAGAAGTGCACATAGGAAGTGTGGAGCTTTACTTGTATAGAATATTTAGTACTGAAATACTTGCATAATTCTTTTTTTGTGGTTTTAGCTATAAAAACAGCACTGAATGAGTGTGACGGCTCTCCATATGAGCGAAGAAACTGTGGATACCCTGGAATAAGCTTTTCAGACTGTGCCAGGAGAGGGTGCTGCTTCAATACCAGTGTACGGGGGGTGAACTGGTGCTACTACACTAACTCTGACAGTGAGTACTACCACAGAACAAACATTATGGGAATCTGCCACAGAATAATATCGTGAACTATCTTTGCTGTTATTGCTAAAACATTTTGGTCTGTTCCTTAATCTCCTTCAATAGAAAGTAAAGTAGAGCAAGGGCCTTCTAAACAAAGCCAATTTACAGTCCTTCAGACTATAGGTGGGCTGTGGCCAGTGGGAGTAGAAAATGCCTTAGGCTTGGTCAGTGGGAATAAAAAAAAAAAATACTGTGGTCAGTGGGAGGAAGTGCCCAACCTGTTGGTATCGGTGGGGAGGAATAGTGCCCCATTATTGGTATTAGTGGTAGGAATAGTGTCTTGTCATTGGTACTAGTAGCAGGAATAGTCTCCTCTTTGGAACAGTGGAAAGAGTGCCTGTTCCTTGGCATTAGTGGGGGGAGAAGTGCCCCATTGTTGGTGTCAGTGGGAGGAATAGTGCCCCAATGGCTGGATAAAGGTGAGCAAAGGGCCGTATCTGACAGTTTGGAGACCATTGACTTGGGGCAGGCAAAGAAAGGAGCAGAACTTTATGGGCTATGTACATCCCTGACTAGGGATGCAGGACTCTGGACTACCCCTGTAGGGTATGGGCTGCTCTCTAACTGTAGATGCAAGGTTGACATTAACACCATGTACTTCCATAACTGGCATCCTACCTATGGGGAGCTCCTATGGCACTAACACTGCCTGTTAGTCCAAATGGTCCTGTACCTAACCCATTACAATGACTCTGGAGCCATCTAGTAGCCAGAGAATTACATTGAGCATGTTTATGCCCTTACCCTATAGATACAGTGGAGTAGTAAGCATAGCCACAAAGAGCCAGGAAATGGGTTAGTTGCAGGATTACCAGTTGAAAAGAAACCCTGAAACAAAATAATGCAGCCACTACAACTAGGGATACAATCCTTGTTTTGGGGTTCATTTTTTTTTTTACCTGTTATAATATTTTCAGAGCTGAACAAAGGGTCGTTCCCTGCTTGGCAACATGACAAGGGTTTCTAATTTTTTTTTTTTTTAATGTGGATCCCCCCTTTAAACCACACCATGGCATCATAAAAAATGTGTTTCAGATCAGTGTGCAGTGAGTCCAGCGACAGAACAGATTGCGGATACCCAGGAATTAATGCCAGCGAGTGCTATTCCAGAGGATGCTGCTTTAACTCCACTATTCGCAGGGTTAAATGGTGTTTCTTCCCAAAACAACTCGGTAAGTTATTGCATCACATAGCCAATAAAATCCTTTAGACTAAGGGCCCATCTACTTTGTGGTGTGTTCACATGTGGTTGACATATGCTGACACATCACAAGTGAACATGTGTCACATTAAGACAGCCCATTCTAAAAAATGGCTATAGATTTACCTCTGATAGTCTTCAGGCTTAACCTTCCACCCCACATGTATACATGCCTAGATCCAAGATCTGTGGCTTCCATTGTTTACCTCCATAGGTGAAAGGCTTCTCTCCTAGCCACATATGTACATTATAGCCCCATAGATTCCTCTGTGGCTTTTTTTACCTTCAGCTCCCAGCCAGGAGAGGTCCCAATGAAGTCCATGAGGCTGTAATGTGCATGCACAGCCAGGAGAGAGCCTTTCACAGCTGAATGTAAAACATCCGGATCTCTGATCTGTGAAGGGGAAGGGTAGAATCATCTAGGTCAGGGCAATGGGGCAAAAAGACTAGGCTCACCATATCTGAAAGCACACTTGCCCTTTAAGTCAAGAGTGCATAAAAATTGGTACCCAAAGGCTCTGAAAACTCTTCTGTGCAGCCAGTAAACCTTATTAATTGCTATTTCAAATACAATATTATCAATTCTTTATAGATAAGGCTCAAGGCTTGGTGAGGTCAGCTGACAGAACAGGCTGTGCATATCCAGGAATTAGAACAGATTGTGGATATCCAGGAATTGGTTCCGAAGAATGCCATTCCAGAGGATGCTGCTTCAACTCCTCCATTCCCAGGGGACAAATGGTGCTTCTACCCCATGACTACAGTAAGATTATGTACTATTTTGATCTCTGATTGGTCATAGTAATCACATGTTGCAGACAGGGCCAATCACAATGCATCTGTACCATGTGATAGCTGAGACCAATCACAATAGAACACCCTGTGACTGAATGGATGTCATTCATATAAATGATTGCTTATAACCGTGACACTATTATAAGCAATCATAGTAAAAAAAAATGTATAATCCCTTCCCCAGAGCAGTACAGTGTCACTGTAGTAACAATGAACTGCACTGGTAAGTTTGCTAAAAGTGGAGGAAAAAAGATGAGAAACCAAAACCTCTTATTAGACTGTCAAGTCAGTATCCCTTATCACCAGCACACGAGACATGACTCTGTGCTGCTCTGACAGTATGTAAAAATAAATTGTGGAAAAACCCTACATTTTGTATATTTTTTTTTTTTAAAAAAAAAAACAAACTCCCCATGCCTCTTACTAAATACCCTAGACTGTCCACTTTAAAAAAAAAAGTCATTTGGGGTTATTTTGTGTTGTCCTGGCATTTTCAGGCCTCGATAAATGATAGCCTATCAGTACATCAGGATTGATTGATTAACTTTCAGTATATACCATAGCGTTTCAACTCTAACTTTCCTACATACTAAATGATATAAACACTGATTTGGGTTATTTTCACTAAAGAAATGAAGCGGAATACATTTTGGCCTAAATTTATGAATAAAAGTTATTTATTTGCCAACTTTTATTTCAAAAACTAAAACTTTTTTTTTTTTTTTTTTTTTTTTGCTTGCGTAGCAAAATATAAAAAAAACCCAGCAGTGATTAAATACCACCAAAAGAAAGCTTTGTCTAAAAATAAAAACATTTAATTTGAGTACAGTGTTGTATGAGTAACTGGTGTTCAAAGTGTTTTCACCAAATGTAGCAGAATACATTTTGGCCTAAATGTATAAGTTATTTGCAAACTTTTATTTCAAAAACTAAGCTGCCTTTTTGGTATTTTTTCCGCTTATGTAGCAAAAATTAAAAAACCCAGCAGTGATTAAATACCACAAAAAAAAACTGGCGTTCAGAGTGACCGCACTGAAAATTGGCCTGGGCAGGAAGGGGGTGAGTCTCTGGCATAGAGGTGGGTTAAAGCAGAAGGCATATCTGGCCAAAATATAAAATCCTTTTTATTCATTTCCAAACTAAAGTTCAGTTATTTGAAGTCCATTAGTAATCTGAGCAATCCTGTAGTTTTTGTAAATTTACACTTTGAAACTTTCCACGGGGGCGGACTGACCATGCGTAACTTAAGCACTGCCTTGAGGTCAGTAGGGGGGCCCCATGAAATGCCCCTGGTACTTGTTTTTTTTTTTTTTTTTTTTTTTTTTTTTTTTCCTGTGGGCAAGGACATGGGCCCCATGATCCCCTATTGCCTGGGGGCCCCATGAGTTGTCAGTCCTCCCCTGTTTCCACACTTATTTTTGTGATTTCTGTGACACTTAGTCACCATGCCTTGCGAGTAGGCACTGCTGTCACACATTTTACAGAGCCTGACTTATGTACAGAGGTGCTGAGGAGTCAGTACAGGAATCGCTGCTTACAGGTAGAAAGGTACCATGGAATATGTAGTCCTTTTTTAGAAATTTTGAAGAATCTGCAATGCAATACAAGACTTCTCTGATTGGATAAGGTGGTGATCATTATTTCATCTGCCAACTTAATCTCTACCTCAGCTTTCTATTCATTGATAAAAATACAAGCTTCTCTTGAAAGGAAGAGCATTGGGCCCAACTCTTCATGCAGTATGTGGCGGCAGAGGGAAAGTCACCGGCACTGTTTCCAAAACACAGCGCTGCCTACTGTATGTAGCTAATGTTGATACAGTATTACAGCACACAGCGGTCACATTGTTCTGTAATGGAAATAGTTTGTTGGGCCAGCTTGGTCAAAACAAGCATTTTTAAAATGACATGCAAGGTCTCAATCCCCCCCCCCCCCCCCCCACTCACACACATCCTGATATTCCTATGTTGTCTTGAAAATGGGATCGTGTGTGTGGTGAGGAAGTCTGCCTCACCACCTTTAACCCCTTGAACCCTGCAGTAGCATGCCACAATTGCATGCATTGCATTGAAAGTACATACAATCTTGGCACTATGGAGCTTCTCATGTCCATAGTAGTACGCTATATGCTGTCATCGGCGTTGTGCGTATTGAAGGGGACTGGGAACTCTGCCAACCACTTAATCTCTATAGGACTGACAGTTCCATTGGCAATCCATGTTTATGTACAGATAGATCAGTGGTTCCATCCAAAGGGAACATCACCAGCTGTGGTGGGTAATGGGAGTCCAAAATGTTTCATCCCAGATCGACATTCTTTCTTTTTTTTGAGGTCATAGAATCTGGTAAACCATATCTATGGTGGAAGTTATGGTGTTATAGCTTGTAAATTAACTTCACTGGGGATTTTTCAGTATCAACTCTACTTAGATTAAGATTAAAATATTTACATAGCTGGTAAGGTTGAATAAGACACCAATCCATCCAGTTCAACCTGTATGTATGTGTATATTTGTCACCACTTTCCATATATCTGTACATTGTGTGCACTGAGAAACGCCATTTGGTTTTTTTTTTTTTTTAATTTATCTACACTTTCCCTTGACATCACCAAATGTAGAAGCGTTCCACATTTTTGCCACTCTAATGGTAAAGAGCTCCTAATGCAGTTTTAACATTGAACTACTTTTTCATCCAATATCATTGAGTGAGTATCTTCTTTAGAGACCTTCGGTTCAAAAGTGTGGGGGTTTTTTTTTTTTTTTTTTTTTTTTTTTTTTTCTACACTCATACACCTTAATTTCTGTAGTTGTTCCTCATAACTGATGCCCTCCAACCCTTTTTTTTTTTTTTTTTTTTTTTTTATTAGCTTTGTTGCCTGTGATACAATATTCTTCAAAACACGTAACCTGACTCCCTCGCAGATGATTGAGAAGTGCACATAGGAAGTGTGGAGCTTTACTTGTATGGAATATTTAGTACTGAAATACTTGCACAATTCTTCCTATTGTGGTTTTAGATATAATAGCACCGAATGAGTGTGACGGCTCTCCATATGAGCGAAGAAACTGTGGATACCCTGGAATAAGCTCTTCAGACTGTGCCAAGAGAGGGTGCTGCTTCAATACCAGTGTACGGGGGGTGAACTGGTGCTACTACACTAACTCTGACAGTGAGTACTACCACAGAGAACAAACATTACCGGAATCTGCCACAAAGAATGTCGTGAACTATCTTTGCTGTTATTGCTAAAACATTTTGGTCTGTTCCTTAATCTCCTTCAATAGAAAGTAAAGTAGAGCAAGGGCCTTCTAAACAAAGCCAATTTACAGTCCTTCAGACTATAGGTGGGCTGTGGCCAGTGGGAGTAGAAAATGCCTTAGGCTTGGTCAGTGGGAATAAAAAAAAAAAAAAAAGACTGGTAAGTGGAAGGAAAAGTGCCCAACCTGTTGGTATCAGTGGGGTGGAATAGTGCCCCATTATTGGTATTAGTGGTAGGAATAGTGTCTTGTCATTGGTACTAGTAGCAGGAATAGTTTCATCTTTGGTATCAGTGGAAAGAGTGCCTGTTCCTTGGCATTAGTGGGGGGGGGGGGGATAAGTGCCCCATTGTTGGTGTCAGTGGGAGGAATAGTGCCGCAAATGGCTGGATAAAGGTGAGCAAAGGGCCGTATCTGACAGTTTGGAGACCATTGACTTGGGGGGCAGGCAAAGACTAGGGGAGCAGAACTTTATGGGCTATGTACATCCCTGACTAGGGATGCAGGAGTCTAAACAACCCCTGTTAGGTATGGGCTGCTCTCAAAGAGCCAGGAAATGGGATTAGTTGCAGGATTACTAGTTGAAAAGAAACCCTGAAAAAAAAAAATGAAGCCACTACAACTAGGGATACAATCCTTGTTTTGGGGTTCAGATATTTTTTTTTTTTTTTTTTTTAAGGACAGAACTCCTCATCTACTTATTCCAGGCAGTGCCTGTTATAATATTGAAACCAGCAGATCAGCAAACTGGCTTTTTCAGCTGAACAAAGGGTCGTTCCCTGCTCAGCAACATAAGGATTTCCTAAATTTTTTTTTTTTAATGTGGATCCCCCCCCTTTAAACCACACCATGGCATCATAAAAAATGCTTTACCTGTTTCAGATGAGGCTCAGTGTGCAGTGAGTCCAGCCGACAGAACCGATTGCGGATACCCAGGAATTAATGCCAGCGAGTGCTATTCCAGAGGATGCTGCTTTAACTCCACTATTCGCAGGGTTAAATGGTGCTTCTTCCCAAAACAACTCGGTAAGTTATTGCATCACATAGCCAATAAAATCCTTTAGACTAAGGGCCCGTCTACTATGTGGTTGACATATGTGACAAATGTCACAAGTGAACATGTGTCGCGTTAAGGCAGCCCATTCTGAAGATGGCTATAGATTTACCTCTGATAGTCTTCAGGCGTAACCTTCCCCCCTACATGTATACATGCCTAGATCCAAGCGCTGTGGCTTCCATTGTTTACCTCCATAGGTGAAAGGCTTCCTCTCCTAGCCACATGTACATTACAGCCCCATAGATTCCTCTGTGGCTTTTTTTTTTTTTTTTTTTTAACCTTCAGCTCCCAGCCAGGAGAGGTCCCAATGAAGTCCATGAGGCCTGTAATGTGCATGCACAGCCAGGAGAGAGGGCCTTTCACAGCTGAATGTAAAACATCCGGATCTCTATGATCTGTGAAGGGGAAGGGTGGAATCCTCTATCAGGGCAATGGGGTAAAAAGGACTAGGCTCACCATATCTGAAAGTGCACTTGCCCTTTAAGTCAAGATGTGCATAAAAATTGGTACCCCAAAGGCTCTGAAAACTCTTCTGTGCAGCCAGTAAACCTTATTAATTGCTATTTCAAATACAATATTATCAATTATTCTTCATAGATAAGGCTCAAGGCTTGGTGAGGTCAGCTGACAGAACAGGCTGTGGATATCCAGGAATTAGAATAGACTGTGGATATCCAGGAATTGGTTCCGAAGAATGCCATTCCAGAGGATGCTGCTTCAACTCCTCCATTCCCGGGGACAAATGGTGCTTCTACCCCAATGACTACAGTAAGATTATTTCCTATGCTTTAATTTCCATTAATATATAATTAATACGCAGAATTTTTTAGTGCCAACAGTTTCCACAGTACTTTACAAAAGCAAGCAGTGTTAGCATCTTAATTTGACTTGGTATGAGCCTCTCATAATCCCCTATGTAGCACAGCTCAGACTGTAGGGGAAGGCAATCCGAAAAAATCAGTCATACGCTAAAGTGCTGATGTGCTAACAAGGAACATGCTGATAGGAGGAGTGTGCAGACTTGATGCATAACATCTCACAAATCTGCTGCTCCTCCTTTTACTGCCTGGTCTTTGGCAGGGGGGATACTGAACTGCATTAGAGAAAAATCAGGTCCTCCTGCTTTATACAGCTGTGCATGTGGTTGTGTAAATATTGGGACTGGAGGGGCAGAAACAAACGCTTTGTCATGTAAAACCGCTTACATGGAAGCATTTCATCTATGTTTAACTGTTTGCTTGGGCTTCAGCCTTAAAGGATAAGTAAGGTAGGGCCAATAGCTGCGGCCTCCACTGCTTGCTTACATTCAGTGGTGAAAGGCCCCCTTTCTTTGAGTCTGTACCAGGGGTGGACTGAACATTTGGCAACTCGGGCACTGCCCGGGGTCAGTAGGGGGCCCCATGAGATGCCCGTGGTACTTTTTTTTTTTTTTTTTTTTTTTTTTTTTTTTTATAGGCTTTTTTGAGTTTGGGCAAGGACACAGGGGCCCCATGATCCCCCCTTATTGCCCGGGGGCCCCATGAATTTCAGTCCGCCCCTGGTCTGTACATTGCAACCCCACCCTTGTTAGGGATCTGGGTATGACCAGAAATGTGTGGACTGACACAGGGAAATGTAGACTTCAGGTATAGTGTGAATAAGACTAAACAAAACAGACACAGTGCAAACAAACCAACCCAAACCTCCAACAGATAACAATAGAAACAATACTAAGCGTAGTCGGGCAGGCCGGGTCGGTAGCAAACGGGCAGGCAGGGCACAAGGAGCAGGTGGAAGATTAGTCAGGAATAGCCGAGGTCAGGACAGGTGGAGTTCATGCAGAGTCAGGGATCAAAGCAGAATCTGGATCAGGCAGAAAGCACAGGATGCAGGTACAGGGGCCCATGGGATACATACATCAAGGCCCTGATCACAGGCCTGGCCATTTCGTTAAATACACCTGTTGTAATCAGCTTCAGGTGATGGCTCATTGCAGGAGTGAGCCTCTGGTTGCTGAGAGCACCCGCTTGCCAGCCCTGGTACTGCAGCCCGCAAGGCAGGTGAGTCCCACCACCACTGGCAAGTCCATTCCTGACACTTGTCTACCTCCGTTTCCCAAGCAGGAAAAGCGTTCCATAGAAATCATAGGGCCTGTAATGTGAAGGTACAGCCAGGAGAGGGGGCCGTTCCCCACTGAATAGAACACTCTGGAGTCTATGCTGCTTGTAGCTCATCTGAGGGTAGAGTTGTCAAAGGATAAGTTCACTTTTTTGGAACATCTTACACGGTCCACCCATTTGTAGGGTGTAACATGTTATCATAGCTGCGCCTTCTGCCCCCCTTCCCTCTGACAGTACGGGGAAACTTCTCTCGCACTATCAGATTTTAAAACTGCATGGCTGCGCCAATCATTTGAGTTCTACAGAGTGCCTACAAGTCCCTTGTAGTTTTCAATTACTACCACGGCACTGTGAAGAGCTTTGGTAATTCATTCAAGCTAGCAGATATTCTGCCAGATCCGCAGGAGACCTGTATGGCATCAGCCATCTACTGATCGCTGGTGAAATGCTTTCCAGGCTCCTTTGCATTTATTTTTTGTCCAAAAGGTGAACTTATCCTTTAATGTCGGGGCAAAGGGGTAAAATGAATAAGTACACTTTGAAAGTACTCTTATCCTTTAAGTCTGGTTAGAAACATGAGTTCCTCATTAACACCAAAAAACATTTTATGTGCAGCCTGTAGACATTATTGTTAACTCAAATTATTTCAATTCTTCATAGATAAGGCTCAGTGCTTGGTGAGTCCGGCTGACAGAACAGACTGCGGATATCCAAGAATCGGTTCCAAAGAATGTCAATTCAGAGGATGCTGCTTTGACCCATCTATTCCCGGGGCCAAATGGTGCTTCTTCCCCAAGAACTACAGTAAGGGGTTTTTCCCACGCTCTAATTTACATTCTATCCTTGGTCTATATAGCGCCAACAGTTTTTTTTTCCGCAGACAGTAGTTACAGTACAAAAGGATTAGGTGGGACCTGCTTATGAGAGCTTACAATCTAAAAGGGAAGACAAGTGATATAAAACATGTGATTGGGGAAAGAGAATCCCAGAAGTATGACACTTTTTTTTTTTTTTTTTTTTTATTACCCATTACTTGGAAAGGCGTTTTTCTGACTTTTGCCGAGTCAGTGGAGACAGGTGATGGTGCACACCGGTGGAGAAAATTTCACTGGTGCATGAAGCAATGTATGGAATCACAATATTCAGAAGATATCCATGTGGACTTCTTTTGATTAAGATTAATCACTTTTTATCAACAGGGGATTCCACTTTATATTTTGTATGATATACAGCAGTTTGCATGGCATGTTTTTATAATTTTTTTTGTAGATATTAGTATAAGATAAATATAAGGATTGAAGAGCAAGGTGTGTGTGGGTTTTTTTTTTTTTTTTTTTTTTTTTTGCGCTACACTGTTCGGTTTGTCGTTTTGGTGAGGGA